CCCAAGCACGAATAACTCCACCGTCGACGAACCCGTACATAGCGCGCTTGCGAATGGCAAGTACAGCGCCGCCAACGCCACTGGCGGTGTCAGCATCGAGGACACCGTCCTATAGAGCAACCCGCCCTCCAGAGATACCGCCCACATAGGCCTCGTAATCCGTGAACGATACCCGTCACTCGCCACACATTCCGTTCTACACATCCATACTTGACTGCCAGGGTCGGCGGCATACCTGCATTCTACTGTCCATATACCATACTTATTACTTTTGCCTTTCATTGTTACATATCACTACGATTACCGTCACGTTCCATCATTGAACGGCCACGAAAATCAACGTATCGCTTTCACACACTTTACCCCCCAAAAAAGAGCTTGGAGTCTTAATTCGGCTGTTGTCATTGTTTGCTTGCTTCTACTGCTCATCTTTATCCTCTTGGGAAATATCTGCTCAGGCAAAGGGCATGGCATCGATGGGGTATGGTTTACCACTACTGTATTACCTCATGAAATAATGGGTGCTTGACGGGATCTGTTTTTTTCGCAACGGGCGTACATGGGCAGACATGTCTCTGGTTTCTGGTTGGAATACCATGGGAAAGAGGTTACTGATCTCGTAGATGAATGGGTCGCTTGGCGAAGATGGGTGTGGTGTTGTACTATATACTACACATTCATAACTTCGTATGATATCTTGTCCAAATTTGCCACGAGGTGAACGATGGTGGTGATCTACCCGCGGATCCGAATGACAGACGGGTATGAGTGGAGGCTACGGCTGACCCGCAGTTTTTTGGGGCAAACGTCTAGTTGCCGCAGCTCCCGAGGTCATGCAGGTGTCCTGACTAGTCATTCTAGCTCGATGGCTATATAAAGGCCTCTCGACTTGCTTCTTCGGCTGATCATCAAGCTATCTTTTCTTCTCCGATGTTACCAAAAATTACTTATGCACCCGCTCATGGTGTGTTTCAAAAAGTCACGACACCATATCGCATGTTCTCCCGTCGCTCTCCCGGAAAACAAAAAACAACTTCCAACTCTTCACTATGATCTGCTTCGAAAGATGATCGGTTGCATTCCATGTGAGCGGTTGAGAGGGTCGTGGCAAACTGCAAAAACAAAGGCTTTAGAGGCTGTATTCATGAGTGCGCTGCCTTCCCCGTCGCAACGGCTATAAAACCAGTCTTGCGGACTGAGACTCCTTCCTGCATCTTCCTCCTCTGCGATACTCAAAATCCCCAGATGAACTTCGCATGTCTGAACTTTCCCAAAAATTCGTTACGCCAAAATGCATGGGTCTCGGTTCGCCTCTCCGCCTTCTACAAAAACGTCAATCGTGCCAAAAGATGTTGGATTAGAAAGCAAATAGCAGAGTTCGGATGTCTGGAGACTTGAAAAGGCAACCTCTCAGCAGGATGTCTGCCGGTTTGCTGTTCTGCCTTCTACAAAGCCATCAAGAACATTGTGATGCTGGACCAAAAATGAGTAACAAGACTGTGATGTCTGGAGACTCCAAAACGTTGAATAATCCGCCGCATGTCTGTCGGTCTGCTGCTGTGCCTTCTGCAGAAAATGGGACAGCATCTACAAATGTCCTTCTTCTGCTCCTTCGCCACTCAAACGGGTATTAGCGGCATTCTGGACTGTATAAAACCATGTCGTGGCTCGTCTGCTTTCCTCGCAGCATCTTTACACTATTCTTCCAGAATACCAAAACAGCTCGAAGAGGATTGCATGTGGCGAGCTCCAAAAAAGACCAGGGTCCTTCACATGGCTCGCTCGTCTTCTTTCCTCCTTCTATCCATCAAAAACGTATTGCGCGAAGATTCATGTCTTTGGAGAAAGACTGTCGCTTCCCTTCTTTCCAAACCTTCAAGTCAACCTTTTCATGTGTGTGCCGAGAAGTCTGGCTTTACCGCATATCCAAATAATACTTCAAAACAACACAATGATTAGTAAGACGGCTGGTGCAATCTTAAAAGACATATCATCAGTCATGTGTGCGGTTCCGGCCTTCGACTTCCTAAACAACATTCTCCGCATTCTATTTACCAAAACTCACCAAGAACTATTCTATGTTTGTGAAACGCTGTTTGATAGCGAGAATGAGTGTTGGAGTGCCTGTGTGGTCTACAAAATTCAAAGACTTCACGTTCAATGTTGTGTGTGCGAGAAATACACTTAAGGATTGTGCATGATCTGTGCGAGAGGACTTGCGCAACTCAACAATCTGATCAAAATCAAAATCGAAGGGTTAACCTCTTATGTCGTTCTTCTCTTCGCTCTTCTGGCATTTCGTCTGCCGCAAATGCGAGTGCTTCCCATTAATGACTGCGTTCTCATACACAATGTCGTGTATAAATACCGGTCTCTCGTCGCTCTCCTCCTCTCCTTTTATCAACACTCTCCTGGTGCGCTATACCAAAATATCACTCCCTACAACGCATGTGTGCAGCTTCGAGAAAAAGCAGTCAATGCTATCGCATGCTTTGTTCTCCTCCGCTTCTCTTTTCGCGGCCTTAAAACACTACTCTTTCGCTCTATGTACCCAGCACTATCGCACCTTCAAACCGCATGAACCGCTTGTTCCTAGTCTGTTGCGACATAAACACCACAAATGTCGTCCCTCCAGAGACTTCTTCCTTCTATCCCCAACCCGCGAGTACGCATTACCAAAAGGACCGACTATCACACTCATGAGTGTGGACTCAAAATCCAACACCATTCTACTCATGTTCTCCGGCTGCCTCCCTCTTCCCGACTTCAAAACGTCAGTGCATACTCCTTATGTCCAGCACGATCATTCCACTCTGCCTATCACACCACTCGACTTGGCCGCTGTATAAAAGCTACTCGATTGTTCCTCCTCAAAGCTCTCGTCTACTATCGTCAAGCCACCAGTTTGCGAAATCAAAACTGACACGCGCTGATCGTGATGAGTGCGAGTCCAAAAATCTGAGACACAGAGAGAATGGTCTCGGCTGCCCTTCCGCTCGCTGGGCTCATCTGAAATAGACTGGTCTGCGACGTCATGAGTAGCACCGGCTCTTCCGCTCTTGCTACTTCTCGTCTTCCTTTTGGAAGTGTACAAAACTGATAGCATCTGTCTGGATGATCTTCTCTTCCATCTCCTATCTATTTGCCTACAAAAGACCAAACTCAGATCTTGCAAGGGTCATGTGTGTGCACCCGAAAAGCCTCAAATGTAGCTGTGATGTTCTGGTCTGCCTCGCCTTCCGAATTTAAAACCCTTGGCTAATGCCCTATGGCTGGCGAGTACCCGCGCTCTTCTTCGCACGCCATGGCGCGGCACTTGCATATAAATATCTGTTTCTTTCGGCATATCCTTACCTTCCATTCTCCACCGAGCACTATTCGAGATATACCAAAAAGCAATTCCGCCCTTATGATGAGTGTGCGCCAAAGTATAAAGACGAAAATCTCATGTTTTCGCCTGTCGCTCTCTCCAAAATCCAAAGCTATTACTGAAAAGCATCATGGTCGGCACGGTCTTGCGTCCTGCAGACTTGCTTGACACGCATCAAAAGTGCACAGGTCCAAATTCATGGCCCGAGAGGCAGAGGTATCTCGCCATGTCATGGTGCTGCCACTGGGTATAAATACTCTTCTCCTTCGAGCTTCTTTCCTACTTCCTATTCTCTATCTTCTGCTCCGCATTATTAGAAAAGTAAAAGGAAAAGAAATGGGTGTACACCAAAATCCAAGTCCTAACTACCTATGTCCTCTTCTCCTGTTCCTGCTCACAGTATCCATCTTAAACCTGGGCAGAGGCTCTCCATGGCCTTTCCTGGTCTTTCACAGAAACTTATTACACCACTACACCACGGCTGAACACCGTCATTCTTCAATGGTCGCCTCAGATCGTATAGTTCGTACCCTCGGCCTGAAGGTCTGTCATACCAAAAGCTCCAAAGGCTCTCGCATATGACTGTGCAACAAAAGAACAGGCCGGGCTTGTGATGTCTGCGCTTCTCTTCCCGCTTCTAAAATGTGCGTAAGCACGTAAAAGCCGCTACACGTGTTCGCCATGGCTGCGCAAATTGGTCCCACTACCTTGTCATACTGTGACGCTACGAGTAGACATAAAAGCCGCCCGCCTGTCGCTCCAAGTTCTTTACTTCACGCACTCGAATTTCCGTCCAAATCACCCCAAAATGGCTATCTGAGAACGCGATGAAGCTTGCTTCGAAATATATGCCCTCATCATTTATGTCTTCGCCTATTTGTTTCTCCGCGAAGTGCAAAGCACCACACATCAAGACTAATGGCTTCCACAACACAGTCACCTTTTTCATGACTATGAAACTCCAGTCGCTTAAAAATGCCTCTCACTATCGCCGATGTTCTCTTCCTCCGTCAAACTCACCAGCTAGTTTACAAGACTAAAAAGGCTTCTTGAGGAATGTATCGGTGCGCATCGAAAATTCCTGGACAACTCGGACATGTTCTCGCTCGCCTCTCGTATCGCAAGGTTTCAAAGAAGAACAGCTTTTGTTCGATGGTCGTCACATGTTTCCAAGCTGATTCCATGAATCTAATATCCCACTTGCGAAATTGGATTCCTAAATACTCATGTGCTCGTCTGTCCTGTTTGTCAGGGGCCCTGGAACGTGGATTTATACCGCCTGGCGGGTACGAGTCTTGCCGAGTTCTTATATGAAGCTGCTCTTGTTGCTGTGACTGTGGGATTGATACTGATCTTAGGGTGCAAAGCGATATGGGGAAGAACATGTATTTAGCTACTGAACGTTGAACACGTACTCATTCACGTCTGCTACCCGTTCTTTCCTCGTTCTCCCTCATTTCTAGCTCTTCATCCCACTATTTACGTCCCAATATTCGGTGGCTAGTGGTGTCCTAGGCGCGCACTTGTTTCCGCTGCAGGGCATTGGTCTGGCAAACCCGGCGTATCTTATTCGTAGATGTATGCAATAGCGCACAGTACTGCGAAAATATGATCGTCGCGCGACCAGCTACTACCATATTACTTCATCCGTTGGTTCATTCCTAAGCAAGATTGTTTGTTTCGGAAGGTAGCCTGCCATATTCTCCCCCTTGACTGGTACCGCCACGATCTCCGTATGGGTGCGGCCACGGGATGGTAAGGTCATCAGTCCGCGCACGTAGTAGTAATGAGGCCACTGATGACCCTGGAAGTCCTTCGCCATGTCGAGATATCCCGGAGTCACGGTAGGGCTGTTAGCATAAATCTCGATCGGCGAACTTCGCGCTGCTAGGTATTGTAGGACCTCGGTTGCCAACTGGGAGTATTGTACCGCACGTTCAACTGGATTGCCGAATTCAACATTCGACCACGTTGCTAGCAAATGCGTAAGGCGCAAGCTGCGAAGCAAAGGAAAGCGGGCTATTACGTCCAAAGCCTTTGCAAAGTTTTGTTCCTGAGGAAACAGATATGGTACACCACATGTCATAGAGCGGATATCGATAGCAGCGACATGAACACCGAGCTCCTGTATCTTTGGACATCCAACTAGAAGTGTCTCGAGCTCGGTAGCCGTGTAGCAGTGGTTCCTGGCTTCGGATAGCGGAAGGCGACTTGGACGATACAACGGATCCAAGTGGAGAAGTCGTAGAGTTTGCCCGTGTCGACACATCTTCTCCACATTGACATGCTGAGGATTTCGGGTCGCGACAAAGAGCCTCTCCAGGCCTGAAAAGCATCCGATAAACTGATTTAAGAACTTGAATAAATCTGGTTCTTCGAAAGATTGTGTAAAACACAGCGACTTCAAAGCGAAGCTGTCCAGTGCGGAGTATTCGATGCTCAAATGCTCTAAAAAGGACGAGACATTGATACAGTAGCTTATCTCAAGATCTGTAAGAGACTGGAGATCAGTGATCTTCCCCAGATGGTAAGGGCCGTCGAATAGGTTGAGGTACGACAGGCGAAGGTGTCGAAGCCTCAGAGGTATGAAAGTACTAGGACATTTCCACCTTTTAAGAGAAGCCAAGTCTCGTAATTCGGGATTGGATGGCTTGAACCCGTTGTAGTGTGCAATATTAAGGGTCTCCAAAGCTGGTGTATTGAGAAGCCATGCATTAAAGTCGTCATCTTTGGCGGGTGTAATGGTCAACTTTCGAAGCTTATTCAAGTTGCCTACAAGGAAGCGAGAGTCCGGACGGCTATGCTGCAGTCCAGGGTGCTGATATGTAAGCTCTTCAATCAGATTTTGAGAGCGAATCAAAAGGCCCAAGATCCTGGGGTTCCCAGTCGGTAGCTCCACGGTGCGTAATGTGTTTTGGGCCAGGACAGCGATCAGCTGCAGCACCTTCTCGGAGACATCAAAAGACGTAATCTTAAGATTCTTGACGTTATCGAGAAATCCATTAGGTGGAGATAACAGTAGCGCGTCGAAATCGCGACCTCGTTCCTGGAGATGGGAGCTGAAAGTCTTCCAGAGCACAGTCGAACTAGACTTTCGCCATCGTTTGTTGGCCAGTCCAAGGTTCTTGAGCGCTTGGCCTGGCAACTGCGTCTGCATTAGCATCATGACAGTATTAGATCTTGCTGATAGTTTACCAGCTCGCACACCTGGAGCCGCAGCTCCTGTGGTATCTTTCCAATGTAACCTTGCACACTAGGTACTGGGGCCATGTCGAGTTCGCCCGATGCTTGCGGCATTTTGGTTGATGAATTCGCTGGTTATGGTGCAGTCCAAGGTAAAGTCGTGTGGTCAGTTGATCAGTCGATGAGTAGTAGAGCGGGAGCAGGTAAGGTTCTTATTCGATAGATGCGCGCGTTGGTCCCTGCACCAGCAGGAGCGTGGAATGAGTGAAATTGAAGTCAGCCACCAAAGGCTGCGGCGTGAGCAACGTGAGTAAGTTTCCATTCACTGAAGACCTGAATAACCAGTTGTAGATTGCATACCGAAGTTAGTGAAGGCGATGCAGTCACTGCTTCATGTAACTAGGTAGTTCCAGTCGGGCCCAAGGTAAAGCGCGTTCGAAAGACATCATGATGGAAGTGCTTGCCAGCACTAGATCAAGCGACCAATATCTGGTCATATCATTCCTCAATGAGCCCCATGCATAGCTGTTGGAAACACCACGGCCCATCTCCTGGTAGCGTTCGAGGTATGTCAGGTCAACAGGTACGGACGGCTGAACGAGACGCGTCGCAAGATAAAAGGATCACGCGACGGTGGTAGACTAAGAGACGCCATATAGATGAGCTAAGACGCGTCCATAGATCTGCGCGATCTGATGAGAGCTGGCGGAGACTGTATGGTGCGAGGTGATGGTGGAAGAACAGGCGTCTCGGGGGCTCGGAGATTGCCTTCAGCAAGCACCCGTGCGCCACGCTATCCACATCTGGAAAAGCATGACGCGTGATGTCATTGCGAGCTGTGCGCCCAAAACTCATCACGATACTTCGCGCATTACGTAGGAGCTGACTCTGGGGGGACTGGACATGGAAGTTGTGGTATTGAAGTGTTTTGGTGCTATTCTCCTAGCTATACGGCATCACGCGGTATCCGCTACACTGAAGAAGCAGACATGATGCGCCCATAATCTCCCGAACACCAGCTGCGCGACAAAGACACGCATGTTTCCTGACAGGTATCAAGCACCCCAGGCCAAAGGATGGATTAACTTCCATCTCGTGGCTTCGCCACCATAACAGACCGTGAATATCCTCTGGCCACCTTGTCTCCAGCCGCTTACTTCCAGAAAAGCATAGCCTCATGTTGGCCTTGTTCTAGCATGGGAACGGCAACAGCGCGCGAAACCTGCTTTCCTCCGCGCATTGCTACTGTCACTATTCCGCGACGGTAGGAGAAGTCGGGAAATGAATGCCCATTCATGTCCATCCAGCCCGCCGACGAGTATGTATCTTCTGGCCAGTAGCCCGGACCAAAGGCAAGAAGCTCGATGGGCGATTCGTGGTCTGCAAAAAACTCCATGATGACATTGGCTACTTGTTGATAGCGGAGTTGATGTCTGTGGATGATGTAGTCATATGTCTCCTCCTGCTCCTCATTTTGTGCTTGAAACAAAGGATAGGTAATACGGAGATTGCGGAGGTTGCGTAGTTGGGTAAGAGGTAGCCATGATGAAGTTAGTGTGACATTCACGACCAACGTTGGCGTCATCGCGAAACACTTACTAAGAGATCGGAAACTTTCACATCCTCCTGTAAACCTCGTCCGGTATCGTGCACATTGAAAGTGTCATATGCAGTATAGTCTCCAAGGTCCCAATCAACAAGATTAAGACTGAGCGCTTCAATGTGCGGACAACTTGCCACGAGCCTCTCAAGCTCTTGAGGCGTATACCGTTCGACATTTCCCGTATAGAGACCTCTGTACTCGTAAAGATTGGGGAAGTGATCAATGTGCAGGTAGCGCAGAGATTCTCCGTGGCGGCAGATGCTACCAATAGACGGGCGCATGGCCTTGATTGTGGTGATGCAGAGAGTCTCGAGTGTCGGAACGGCTTCAAGAAAGTGTTCGATTTCGGTGTTGAATGGCTTCTCTCCTTCCAGACCGTTCAATTGTCGGAAGATGACTGAGTTGAGTGCGGGCTTATCGCATTTGAGAAACTCATCGGCGAGGCACTGTACGGTGCGCGGCATATCCGAACAGTTACTCAGAAGCAGACTTTGTAGGCTACTCAGGTTGGTCATACCGCCGAAGCAATCTCCTTGCTCTTCGATGAAAGCAGAGTGAATCTCGATATTGCGTAGATCCAAGAGCACTTCCAGTTTTGGCATACTCCAGGAGTAGGGTCTTCCGTTGTGTGCATCTTGAGCCTTGGGTTTGATTGCGAGTCTTCGGAGAACGGGAGTGAAAGCCAAGCATTTGGCATCGGCATGGCGATCTGCTTCTTGTGGTAGAAGTGTCAAATCTTCCAGCTTATCTAGATTTCCTGTGAGTAGCTTGTCGTGCAGGGTCGTTGAGGGAAACGAAAGTTTCGACAGCTGAGATTGAGTCTTGAGTATAAGACCAACCGTACGTTCGTCAAAGTCTAGCGTGGTCGTAAACGCTCGAAGGCTGTTTCGCGGTAGCGCGCACAGAAGCTGTACAAAACGACTTGAGATTTCCGTAGTGGTGGGGAAAGGTTCTTCCCCATAATTGCATCCGTCAATATCCAGCTCCTTGATCATGTCCAAAATGTCATCTGAACGAAGTAGCGCATCGATTGTGCTGCCTTCATCGAGATTGGTCGTGAAGGTGTTCCAAAGTACTGTGCCAGCTACAGAGCTCCATGCTTTGTCGATCAGGCGGGCATGTTTTTGATCATCGTACGGAAGCTATATTTCCGTTAGCAATTGCACGTCACATCGCATAAAGACAGGAAGCGTTTATGGCTGCTTACAAGTTCGCAGATCATGTGTCTCAGCTCAGTCGGCAAGACCTTGGTATGATCGAGCATAGCAGGTGCCGTCATCGTAGGAGCTTGATACGCTTGTCGGTTGCGCGGTTCGCAAGGAAATGTATGGTTGAAAGTAGCCCAGTTATGTGAGTAGAGATAAGATCAGTTCTGTGGAGGTAAAGAAGTCAGGGGAACGAGCAACGCTACTTCTATATGTGCAGGTCCGTTTTCACCAGGCAACGGACGTGCACAGGTCTGCTGTTGAACGCATTGACTTCTTGCTCCGGTGAAAGTACCGAGTCTTGACAGACAACGAAAGCCGTTCTACAGGAGGGCGCCTCGAGCGCCCTCTGCCGAAGGCCTTGGCCGGGACACTACGCGGCGTTGAAGACTGCACTTCGAGATTCCAGCAGTGAAGTTATCAATACTGTTGTCTTTCTAATTGCTGTACTCTGTGGTCAGTGTCAAGAGTTATAGACGTTGCCCAGTGTTGATATCGAATGGTGAAAGGAACGATCGATCAGGAGCTGTGGCAACACTCGACGCGCTGGCACTACGCGCTCACACCACAATCTTCCGTCGATAGTACGGGTCTCGACTGCAGAAAAATCGCGCGCATCGCAGTTGTAATGAAACTGTTGATAGAATTACGATACCCTGCTTCGTTCAAAGGTCATTCCGCATGCTCCTCGCTCAAGTCTTGCTGTAAACCAGTAAATGGTCAAACAGCTGTCGGCCGTGAAAGTATCCACCGTGCGCCGTAGTCGGCGTCGGCGTCACAACCTCGGTAAAATCATTCCCTAGGAGCGCTTTGACTTGCGCACGAACTTGGTCGAGAAGTTCAATATCCAGTATCTCGCCAGCAAAGTCATCAAGATGGAAGAGCTCAATTTCGAGCGTTTGGAGGTCCGTGCACACCCGGATGAATTGACTGTAGGGGAAATGCACTTTGACACGAAATTCCACTTCGTGGTACTGCATTTCATCGCGTCTGAAGCCAATACTGGGAAAGGCAAGAGCGATCTTGAGCGACTGAGTTTGCGGTGCATTTTCTACGTGATTAACGAGCGATTGAAGCCACTCTTTTTCATCTCTTGCGAATGAAACATGTATTGTGCCATCGTATCGGTGAATGATAGAGAACGTATGGACTGGACGTTCGAATGGTAGGCGAGCGAATGATATGGAGTTGGCGAATTTGGGGCTCATAATCATCGTGTCTGGTGGATCTAGTCGATGGTTGCGGATGTCGATAGAACCTATCGGCCAGAGGTTCCAATGCGCCTGTTTCCGGAATACATCGATAGCTTCATCTACGAATCTTTTACTCGTCAACAGCCAGATAGGTAAACAGGCATGTTGACCTGGACGCCACAGAGGTTTTTGGTATCTAGCTGCGGACCAAGCCTCCCGAGTTGTCAAGTCGCTTTCGTCCAATACCGTTCCATCGTAGTAAGCAAGGATACCAGTCTGACTTTGTGTATGATAGGCTGCGATGCGGTTATTCATCTTCCAGAGTTCGTCATAGACCATGTTGCGAAGTTCCGGCGGAAGTTCGAAGAACTCCAATATCATATCCGGGCTTGTCAAACGAGCTCGAGCTTTGATGTTCCCCCTTTTGCCTCTTTTCCCTTTGCTCTTCGCCATCTGTAAATCTCCGCGGAAATTGTGCGTCGACTGAGAGGTGTAGGAACGTACTACTATTGCGAGATAAACGCAACCGCTTTATACAGCTCACGGGAGGTTTGGCGTCAACGCAGCAAGCGGACGAACCTTGAAACGTATAGTCACGAGGACCGCAGGCCGGATGAGATCTTTCTCACGCGTTCTGGGCCGTGCTTGTCTCCTCGACATACTCGCATATGTTCTCAGTACGATGTGCACGTTTCGTGACCGGGCGCGTTGGATGTCTGAAGCATCGGGCAAGCCATCGACGCAACACCAGGCCATGCTCTGAAAGCCTTTTGCCTGCCCTCTATTTCTCCTTGTATGTATTGCGAACCGTGAGGCGCAAGTGATCTATGTGGTTGGGAGTGATCGGACTGCGAAGGACGAGTAGAGAGACCGACGTTGGGAGGCTTCCGAGGTTGTACTGCGATGCGACATTAACTCTCACCAATACAAGCTGCAATGATACTCCGCCCGCAAGCTATGTCGCTACACGTCTTCTCCGACCTTCTTGATGCATGTCTCCATTAAAGCGTTCTGCGCGTGGGTACAGTCCATTTCAGGGTCAAGAAGACTGATGTCTTGATGATGCCCAGCCCTGGAGGTGTCGTGATGCGCGATACGGATCCTGGTGGTTGTGCTGCTCGTAGAAAATGGTGCATATTGACCACGAAGCGTGTACACCACGGTGCGCAGAAATGCGCGTGTAGGCTGCATGTAGGTGTGAAGTACATTAAAGGTCGAGCAAGGGTGTGGCTAGATGTGAGAGATCGCTGGGCGCGCGAGCAGCCCAGCATGCTAAGTGCCAGATTACATAAGACGGGAAGATCGTCATGTCGCAACCTCACTTCTCCCACCAAAGGCTCTTCGTGAGCGCTGCTTACAAGTACTTCGATTCTTCTGGTCTCCTCACAGTAAGATAAATTGAACATTTTTCGATATACTAAGACCCTGAGTAGGTATCACAGGGCACGATCAGTCCATGATCTGGGAATCTCTAGACCTTCTAAGCTCATGCTGACAAAGTCTGTAGACGTTCGCGCATAATCCTCGTACCAATAATAGCCATAGTTGTGCAAACCACAGCTCATTCTTTCGCACTTGCGACGACATTTGCTAGTTTGGACGCATGGTCCGCTCATAACAGATCGTGTAGTCAATTGTGCTCCCCATCAACACGAAACGTTCATGATGAGATCAGGCTGCAGTGTCGACCTCTTTTAAGATACTACTTACGACGTGCTGCACCCTCCGCCGATAAGTAAGCAATGTAATCAACACATCCTTACATTGGATGTGAGCAATCGCTCCTGCGATTCCAGGAAGAGTTGGATAGCCCCACCAGTAATCTGTTCCGCCACAATCTCGACCCCACAGTCCAAAAATTCTCATCGCAGTCTTTCGTTAGCCACCACCTTCCAACTGCTCTGTCGATGTAGAAGCGTGCTACCTCGATCGCGTCGCATGACGGCAATATGTTTGGCTGAAAGGTATGTTTCTTCATCGAAACAACAATCTTCAATAGTATAGTGGTCAGTATTTCCGCTTGTCATCTCGGCCTTCTGGCTCTTGACAATTACGCGGGAGACCTGGGTTCAATTCCCAGTTGGAGAGCTTTCAGTCAACTTTCTTTTTGCCGTTTTTTTTTTTCGCCCATCCTCTTTCACTCTGAGCTCGCGGTGAAGACACAGCTACGGGCAGCAGCCATTTCTTTTTGCAAAACTACACGTGATAGACACCTAAAAGACTATGGCTAGGCGGCCACTCCCCCAGTACCGTGCTAACGCTTAGAGCGCGCTCCTGCGCGTCAGCCCTTTTCACCTTGGGATAGTGAAAACCACAACACCGCTCTCACGGTGATATCTCACTACCGAGCCTTCTTGGCACTACACTTGGTCGCTTAACCGCCCTCGCCCTCACGGCTGCATACTTTCAATAGCCCAAAACATCGCGGACACCTCGCGGTCCACCCAGATTACCGGCGCCCACCGACACCTTGATTAAGGCATAATCTGAACACCCTGGAGCCCACATTGACGCCGGAGAACTCAGATTTACTTGTTCCATCGTAGTGTAGTCTGCAGACCTGTTTAGGCTCCTACAAGACATGGAGACAGATCACATTGGCCGACTGCCCGCGGAGCTCAAATGCGCAGTCGTGCGCTATCTGGTCCTCAAGGATCGGCAAGCGGTCTCGCTCATAAACAGTGATTGGGCCGTCGTCGCGATGCCCATCATGTGGGAAACTTTTACCACGGACCTACTCGTCAAGACTGGCCCGGGCTCACGAAATGTGCGCGGTTTAGCATCCCCCGCCTCGAACATCGTTAAGCATGTCCGCAAAGTCAACCTCCTCGACCGACCAAACGCGTTTAAAGAAGCAGACCAACTGCCACAACTACTCGCTGCCATCCCTCGCGGTCAACTATGTGGCTTCAAGAGCGGAAGTGGGGTACCCATCAGGTAAGTTCTGACTGTACGAAGTGCATGTGAAACATATACTGACTTCGTACCTCTACCTCTGCAGTACGCTCGAGCTCCTACTGCAGATACACCCGAAACTCGAACATTTTATCATCCCTAGTACCCAGATGTCGCAGATATTACAATCGCCCTGGACTGGTTCATCCTTATCAAGCCTCACCCGGATGAAAGTCTCTCCAAATACTATCACTCAACGAGAGTTTCGAGAGCTATGGGTGCGATGTCCTAAGCTGACGCATATCCATATGATGCAGAGTGAAACTGTCACGTCGACGTCAATCCATTTGGATGAAGGTTATTTCGGGGTCGATACAACATCTGCAGTCTCACAAGGTGAATCAGGCACGACGCAGACGGACACGGTCAGCCTTAAACTAAGCAGCCTTCATATCGGTGCTCTCATCCTCCCTGCGACTTTTGGCACCATGTTCCAGCGGATAGACATCATTGCTCTTACCGAACTCGTCCTCGATGGTACCGCACTCGTCGCTGGACTCTTGGAGGCCATGGGCTCGGACTTCCAGAAGCGAGAACCCTCTCTGAGGAAGCTGCGACTTCTCCTGATGGATGAGGACGAGTCAAATGACATTCGCTCCCAGCTAGAGTTGTTTCTACTCTCTTTCCACGGACTGAGCCAGCTACATTACCAGTGCGGCAACTGCGACAAGATCGACGTTGATGGCATCATCAACCATGGGGAGACACTCACGGACCTACTCATCGTCAACGGAGGTGTCCACCGACAAGATGCCACCGAATGCATGAGCGCGGAAGATCTGGGCAAGGTCGCCATCGCATGTCCAAGCCTCGAGCAACTCTGCCTCAACCTATACGAGATCGATCCGGATACACCAGAAGGAGACTTCCTCGGCCCGAAAACATCCGTACCTTTAGAATCGACAGAGTTCGAAAAGGCTTTGAGCGCTATCGCTAGCATGAAAGCGTTACGGCTACTACGCTTGACAAATCTGCCCAACTATCGCAAAGCCTACCACCGCCAAGGAGAGTTCATGCGCTTCTTTCGCCGATCGCTTGAGAGCGGAGAGCAGCGCTATGCGTTTCAGGCCCGAGCAGGTGAGATTTCCCATATATGAACTGCATGTGAGACATAGACTGATTTCGTACATTGGCATTTTAGACAGTCTCCTACGATACATGGGTGACCGTGGCTCAAACATCAGGCTCCTCGCATTCTCTCCCATGGAATCGCTGTCAAAGCCTGCCACAGCGGACAAGAACGGCCATGTCTGGCCGCACTACTTTTACTCCTGCGAGCGGATGAAGGGAAATCGAGGTACGGAGGTCTCAATCGCGAGGGCGGTGAGGGACTGGAAGGCAGAGATGCCGGAGGCTACTATACTAAACGAATGCTGAGTTCGATGACCCTGGAGCCTACATTGGCCTTGGGTCGACTACTTTGCATGTTTTCATCTCAGTGCAAGCTACAGATCTGTTCGGGATTTTCCGGGTATGAGGCGATGCAGCGAAGAGCTTGCGCATACGTATGCAGTGTACAGTAGTCGTGAGAGACGATCCAAGTCGAATACCTTCGCAATGTCAAATGCGCTCGAATGCATCCCGATAGCTATCAGAAACATTGCGCGTAAGTGTATTTCATTCGCCCGTGCCATACCTCTTCTGATCTGTGGCTGCAGGTGGCGTTGCCTGTTGCCTGATGCCTGGAGTGAAACTGGTCTAGCGTAATGCATAAAGGCAAGTACAACTGCGCAATCCCCAGTTGAACATCTCACCTGTCTGTCCATCTTTCCCCACCACCCCGCCACTCGTATTATGGCAAACCTCCTTGCACTACCAGCAGAGATATTGCGCACAGTTCTGATACACGCCGTCGACGTCCGAGGTCTCAAGCGAGGGTTACGATTGAGGCTGGTGAACAGTATGCAACAGCAATTAACGCGCAGCCGTAATGCCGCCTGCTAATTCTTCGGCAGAGGAGTTCTCTCAACAAGTGAAGGATGCGCTCCAAGAATCCGAGCTACTGGACGACGTACATGGATATCGCTTTGGCTTCTCCCACTCGCCCGAGTTTGTCGCCTTTTGGCAGACATTCCTCACCAACAAGATTATAGGGAAGAAATGGGCCCATGTGGACATATGCGAACGCATATATCGCGCCGCCGAGCGTCTTCGCCGGATTAGCCATCCCCAAGAAACTAACGAGAAAACACTGCACACGATCTTGCGACGATACATCCATGCTTTCTGTTGCAATCCAGTGCGCATATTGTCGAGAGCACGTTCTAAAGACCCAATTCAGTGTCGGATGTACGATCAAGCATGCCTTCTGGAGATGACTATACTCAACGACTGTCCAGAGGGAGTAAATTCTCTGCTCAATGACCCCATCTTGGACGAGATCATATCGCATTGTCTCGATCCCTGGTCCAATCCGTGCGGGACGCGTGAAAATGGACGATTTTTAATACACTGTAAACAGGACATTGTCTCTCTTGCCGCTGAGAACGGGAACACGAAATTACTCGAACAGATTTTCCTGCATCCGAGTTTCCAACAACAGTCAATATATCATCGACATGAAGCCCTTGAGGCTGCAATGAGAGGGGGTCATTTGGACGTAGTGAGGTTCATCATGGAGCCGCGTTGGGACTTGCCCGGAAAGGGGCCATATCGCACTCACAGTTTGAATCAGCATACACTGGTGTCCGGAGTCTTCAAAAGTCCATCGGCCGATTTCGTCATTCAGCTCCTTGGCCTAATAGCCTCTCGTTCGATGAAAACCCATGGTATCGAAGCCGTATATCCTGGACACGACACACTCTTGTGCCTCGTCGCACGGAAGAGCCCGCAAAGAGTCGATGTGGCAGAACGACTTCTCGAGCAAGGAGCTTTACTTAAACAGAAGGCGCATGTCAAGAGACGAGGAGCTGAAGCCTCCTACACTGGGTCTGACAGCCCGCTTGAACAAGCCATCAAAGGGGGCAACGAGGAAATCCTTCGTCGGCTTCTAAATCGTGGTGCGGATGCCAGGGTCCTTGACAACGATACTTTGGAAGTAGCTGTAAAACGAGGGCGTCTGGATATAGTGCGCATGTTGGTAGAGAACGGTACGCGTGTCACACCGCGGCTCCCATCGAGTGGTCGCAAGAAGCACTGGAGGTGGACAGAAGACAGGCTGATGGCGCACGCCGTGCTTACGGAGAACGAGGCACTGTGCCGATACCTGGTTGAACGTGGAGCTATCGTCAATGAACATGCCTTGTGGGCGGCTGCCGATGCATCGCTGGTATCGATGGTTCGTTTTCTGGTCGACGTTGGGGCCGAGATCAATGAGCAGATGATCGAGCGCGCGAAACGTTACAGTCATCCGGACGTTGCGACCATACTGCAAGCTCATCACAACAGCACCTAAAGTCATCACCCTCCTTCCAGAAGCGCGTTCATCCGCTTCCACCTCCAACCACATCTCGCCGCGCCCGTGCCTCCGGCAAATCAACCGACCAAGCGAGAAAGCGAAAAACGCACGCCCACCCCAGGAAACTTCCGCGTGCCAAAGGACCTACATCGGGCGCCGAACCCTGCTGCCTATTCAAAATTCAATAGCCCATCAACAAGACCAACAAGACGCGTCGCGCGCACAGAAGTCCCTGCACTGCTTGTTCAACTCAAAAGATTTCTCAACACGTAACTTTGGCGAAGAAAGCTATCGAACAATATTTGATTTGCACAGGGCGGTGAGGGGAGTCCCGAGGTCATCAAGCGCGCAATGCCCATGCCCATGCGGATATGTAATCGTCGGATCTGACATTTTAGCACCGACCGTGTCCGAGTTGAGGGACTAGGAAACCGCTGCTGAGATGCGTGCTGTCAGCGAGATTCGAGAAGACGGACGGACATGGGAGTATCCTGGTTTGAGCTGGTGAGCCGCATGGTCCTGGTAAGAAAGTGGTGGTTGTGGTCACGAGGCCTAATGTAGATTTGACAATACGACGTATCCCTCCTTCGTGTGGCGCTCGAACCTTGAACGCGCCTTTTCACCCAGCCAACGTACGTGACGGTGACGTTTTCCATCGCGCATCAGGCGCTAGACCGCGGGATGAACGTTTACTACCGTGATGGTCTGTTACGGCTGTTGTTTCTCCTCTAGCCAACGGACCATACACGCGGTATTTTCATCTCCTACCTTCCCTCTCCATGTCCCATAGCATGTCACCCACCTAAATGCACATCATCCTTCTCATCTCCCATCCCATGCCCTACCTTCATAATCACTCCTCCATCTCCTTAGCATAGAGCCCGTTCCGCTTTACGCCCACCTCCGAAGCTAAGAGGCGGCTGTTTCATGATTATCCCTGACCAGCACACACGGCACTAGCAGAAAGGACAGACCCATGATGGTCCCTGCGTCAAATTGATCAATGGAAAACTGACTCACGGGCTAACGACGTTTGTTTCGAAACTAGCTAGGGTAAGGCGACAGGCTGTAGCGAGTCTAGGGATGAGTGGGGAATTCGAGTGATGGGTGCTGGGTGCTGGGATAAATTGGTAGCTTGGTAAGCTTGGTACTTGGATGATGAGGATGATGTGGTGATGCGGTGATGGACGGTGATGGAGGGAGAGGAGAGAGGAGAGGTATCCTGGTGGTGATCATAGAAAAATTGCGATACGATGGTGGATGGTTCTCGTGCGTGAGGATTCGCCCGAGATGTTGTTATGAAGGACGGTGCGTAACTGTACTATAGCTTTCAAGATCATCACCACAATGCGTCGTTTTCGCATGAGATGGATATTCTGTTCATGCTGATAACCTCCACATCCCGAATCACCCTCATCACCAAGACCCTCAAGATCACCAAAGTCACATCTACATATCACATCCATCACACCTGCCAAACCCCCGAAGTCCCTCCGTCTTGTCCTTGTCCCACCTGTCTATCATTGATGCGATTTGCCCGCCAAACGCGGTGTTCGTATAGTCTCGTGACGCCGTATCCTCGCTCAATCCCGCTTTCCTCATCAATCTGTTACATAGGGCTGCATATCCCGATCTCAAGTAGATCTTCGATTTTGCGCTCGTGCAGGCATGTTGATACAAAAAACAGTGGGGAGAGAGAGAGATCAACATACATCCGCGGAGGAGCAAGTTTGCGATGACGAAATGATGGACAGGAGAGGTGAATATCACAATTCCTCCTCCCACCTCCTAGCATGTTGAGAGGTGTGATGCGCGTCATTGCTATTGTCGCGTATGTGTGTGTGTTGGGTGGAGAACAGGGGGGCATGATTAGCATGATTGGCATTGCATACATACGTGTAGTCTCACGTGTGCGGTGTGAGGTTGAATCCGGTGGTCTTGGTATACCGGGGGGCTAGACTGTCTCGGTGTCTTTTCTGCGCATTCGTTGTCTGAGGTACATGTATGAAGCACACCGACTTGCAAGACTAGAAAATACGATGTGTTGTCATCCAATAGAATTCCGTAGTCTAGTCGGTCAAACTAACGTATTGTCGCGTGTCACCAATCAACGCATGCAAACCACGTAGTCACGACACCGAAACCATCATAGTTTGTAAAATAGTTGCAAAAATTGAACATTCTTATTGTGTGGCAGCTAGGGTAAAGTGCGTCACTGTGCGTGAGCGCTACTCCGATCAGCTCTTGTCCTGCCTCCTCTGTCGCCGATCCACTAGACATTTGCGCGTGCTTAACAGAATTAACACACAATTCTCAACAAATCGAAAAAGGTATTTCCTCCACATTCGGGATATGCCAAAACAAGAACCAAAAAAAGATCCACCGCCTCAAAAAGGAGTCTCGGTTTCAGTGGCGAAGTAGAAAGAGAGAAAAGAAGAAAAGGAAGAAAAGTGAGAAGGGTCATGAGACATGGTGTGTTTCAAGACGGCCTCAGCCACGTATAGCAAAACAGTTGCTTTGCCGAAAATGCCCATCATCCTTGAACTCATATGAACATGATCTCTCCAGAATAGACTCAAACTCGAGGTTTGAGAAAATGGTAAAAGGAAACAACATATGGAAATGGCGGTGCGTGCGTGTGTCTGGGTATAACCCTGCGGGTCTGAAATCAGACCGCTGGCGCTTTTTACAAAGACGTAT